TGACATTATTCTTTGGGAAGAAGTACAGAAGAGAAATTTGCAAAGCCAGTATGGCAAGAAGGAAAAGAATTCCCTATCAGTTACCGGGCCCTCTTTTTTATTCTCAGCTCTAACAAAATCACTAGAAGAGGAAGTAAAAGAAGGGAGAAGGAAAGGGACCGTTAAATCAGGGAAATCTGGGGTAATGGGAGTACCAATAGGGGATACTCCTAAAAGATGGCAGATGTCAAGGACAGTGGGAGCCATCATCCCACACCTAAACTGAAAGAAATTGAAAATAGGGTTCCAAAAACATAAAGTAGCAGGAATTAGAAAATGGTCTTCTGAGATAGTTACCCTAGATAATCGAAGAGCATCGAGAAGGCAGAGTTCTTGAAGGTCCAGTGTCCTAGCAGGGACAACCCGGTCGTACCATTCTTGCCACTCTGGTCTCATCGTGGGCCAGCATCGGTGAGGACGACTGACTTTCCAACCTTTCCAGTCGAGACCACCCTCATACAGAAGACATTGATTCTCCAAACGAGGATATAGGGCGGGAAGCTCAGAAAGGATCTCCTTGAAAATGGGCCCAAGCACGTACTCTCGCTGCACATGGCGACGAGGGATAAAGATACGCCCATCGATGACGCTTTTCTCATCACCCTTGTATTTCTCACATTCAGCATCAATAAGCCGTTTCAAAGCCACAGATGAGCTTACGCGCTCTATGGTCGGAACTTTTGATGAGGAAGAAGCCATTGATAGTGAGTTTTTTCGGAAAATATAGAAGGGAGTAGAGAGAAATGGAAATCTAAAGGAGGTTTGAATGCGTAAGCAATTCCAAGGCACAGAGTAAAAAGGTTTTAAATAACTTTTGTGTTCGGGAATATATCTCGTAAGTTGTTAAGTACTAAAACGTGCAAATACAAGGAATCTCTTTCAACATCGATAATTTCTGGAGGGAAAAGCACATTGATGCCAGCTTCGAAGCCAAACTTTGGCGCTAAAATTTCAAACAACAACGGCTTCAAAATGCAGAAGCCGACTTTGAAGCATACTACATGCTTAAAAATGCTTGTATGCTCAAAGTATTGGTCTACTTCAAAAAGTCTAAAGACCTGTTTGAAGGTTATCAGTCAAAGTGACAACATTCAAAGCAAACCCTAGGACCCTTTAAGGAAAAGGGGCACTGTTCGAAACATCCAAAACCAATCATTGGTTTCTATATGTGCAAGAAGGAATTGCCATAGGTTACCCTTCGAAGCCAAAGAGATCAGTTTAAAATTGATTGGTTATATCAACCATGACCATATATTGGTTACAGTTAGTGTTGAAGAGTAAAGTTGTTGAAATCGAAGCACTAAGATAATATCTGCCAAAATTGTCAATTTTACTCCATGAATTGGAAAAAGACATGATTGGTTCCTTCTAGTGTTTCATTATTTATCATTAAAGGAAAATGATTGAATATGTAATGGTTACAGTTAGTGTTGAAGAGTAAAGTTGTTGAAATCGAAGCACTAAGATAATATCTGCCAGAATTGTCAATTTTACTCCATGAATTGGAAAAAGACATGATTGGTTCCTTCTAGTGTTTCATTATTTATCATTGAAGGAAAATGCTTGAATATGTAATTCGAAGGATGAGGTTGTCCAATTCGAAGCTCTAAATTAGTTTTAAAATATAAAAGGAAGCAAAGTCGAGCAATGACGAGTGCAAAAGAACTTTGTTTGTATTAAAGATAAAGAGATTACATTGACTAACCCCATTTGGGTACAAACTCAAGTTCATAAAAATAAGGAATAGAATAGATAACAAGATCATGAAATTTAGTCCAACAATGGTCAATGAATTTCTGCTCTTTCTTTATTATATCTTCTATTTCTTCAAGAGTTGGCTGCATGAGCTGATGTGCTCTCACTTCATAATAGAGCTCTTCAGCCTTTATTTCAAAAGCCTCCTCCCTCAATCTTTGTTCCAATTCATCTACGATCAAATCATCCCAATATGCAGAATCTTTATTCTTGAAGTCGTCGAATTCTTCGGTGAAGTTTTCTGCTTCATACTGGGCCTGAATTCGCAGAGACGAAAGTTGGTCTAAAGATTGCATAGTGACCATGGAATTCTGATGCCAATAAAGGAGCACTGGAAGTTGGTCCAAAAATAAATGAAGCTCTGCTTGGGCAAGAGGGTTGAGGACATAACCCCTAGTCAGGACATCACAAGCCCATCGAAAGTTCTCAAGAGGAATGTCATCCGCAAGAACATTGAAGGGCAGGTGGGAGAAAGCCGCGAGCAAAAGTTGAGCTTGCTTTCGCTCGGCTGGAGAAGGGGGTGACGGAGGTTGGTAAGGTGGAAAAACTTTGTCCATTGGAAGGGCAAGTCTTAGTTTCTCTGTCCAGGAAAGAATAAGAGAAGGAGAAGGAGAAGATGATCCTGCTTCGGAAGATGGGAAGAGAGTAGATGGCTCTGCTTCAGAAGAAAAAGGGGAGGGAGTAGATGTTTCTATCTCGGAAGATGCAGAAGAGGGTGTGGATGCCTCTATCATGAGAGATGGCACGGGAGCAGAAGGAACAAAGGCATTAATGTAATCAAGCCAGTCAGAAGAGCAGATCTTCGCCTTCTTGGCTAAGAATGAAGGGATGTACCCTTGTGCTTCTTCTGGGCGCTGGGTAGGGTGCATTATCTTTGTAGGCATGGAAGAGGTATACCAAGCCACAAGCAGAGTCTCTTCCAAGCTACGTCGAAGGTCAATGGGCACGTAAGGGTAGACCACTGAGCTTCGAGCGTAGGAGGGAAACTCCAAGGGGTCAGTGAACTCAACAAAATGGTGATTGATTCGCTCCCTTAAATCATAAGTCTCAGGAGTTGACCAGCTTGTCCAGCCAGAAGCCCCAGAGGATGAAGAGGTTACAGCTTCATCCCATGCAGAGGTCGGTGAAGAAGAGTTTCCTAAGTCCATATTTGCAACTTGTCGAAGCAAAGGCTTGAGAGTAGTTCGGTCAAAATACAAAGGGAGCTTAGGGGAAGAACTCTTTGTATCTGTAAGTTTGTAAACCAAGGGATTAAAGGCAATGTGTTCGTAGTCCAAAGGTTTATAATCTGCAAAAGCCTCCATTACCTGAATAGAGAAGGGCGGGTAAAGGTGGCTAATGAATGCGTGGAGATTCTTTCGAGGAGGAATAACATCACTCAAAGGCTCTTCATATGCTTGATCAGTAGTAAGGGAAGTTGATGCAGCCATAGCCTGTTCGAATACTAAGGTATTGGGATGTTCAACGAGTTAATGCAAATGATCACCAAATGGATGACGGTTGTGTTTCCAGAATTTGGACTCCATACACAATCTAAAGGCGCGGGAAAACTGTAATCCACTAATATCACCAAGTATTGGGTATATTAGTGCGGGGGGTAATGTTGGCTACATATTTTGTAAAAGCCAGTTACAGTTCGACACGTGGCAGAGTAAGGGTAATAAAGGAAGGCTATTCAAGCCTTTAATCCCGATCATACACGTGGCAATAAATATTGGTCCTCACATGATCTGAGTAACACTAGATCAATAACGGGATGCAAGATAACATAGCTTCAACGGTTACTCATATTCAAATTCCAGTACAAGAGGGAAGCTCAACTGCAAGTAATGGCGTAATGGAGCTACTTATAAGGAAGCATGATCAGCGATCATGGAGGAGCAGTTCAACGGTTCGAAGTGCAGTTCGAAGGTCATCACTGACGAGTATAAATAGCAGGAGAGCCCCTAGAAAAAAGGACGGACTCAGATCATACAAACCAGTCATTTACTTCATATAATTTTCTTTTCCAGTCATTTACATTTCCAGTCTTTAAATACCTATTCTTTAAATACCTGCACTTCAAATACCCGCACTGCACTTCGATTCATAGGAGTAGCTACAAGTAGATTCAAGTAGATTGCTGTTGTAAACCTCTCCGAGGCTGAGTTCGGACCATTGTAAGTGTTCATTTTTATGAAATACTTCAATTGTTCTTCATATCACTGTTATTTCTCTTAATTTCTCCTAAGTCAAGCCACCAGTAAAAGTCCTCTTCATTGAGGCTGAAAGAACTAAAACACAATCGTCTGATAATTGGTTGGCAATCACAATTTCTGTAAGGACTGATTGATCCTTGCTGGCACGCTCACATTTACAAAAATACCCTTCGAAAAGCCAAAAAGCCAACAATAGCATTACTGACAACAGGAGCAAGAATGGCAGTTAGCTCGTTTGCCAGGATTGAACTTCAAAAAAGGCATGGCGGAGGGAAGAAGAAAAAGAAAAAAACTCTACACATTATAATTCAACTGGTGGTGGTTATTGTTGGTTTTGTAAGAAAAAATGAAAAAAGAAAAAAGAAAAAGAAGAAGAATAAATAAGAAGAAAAGAAAAGAAAGTGACTATTGCTGGGCATCTACTGCAGTTGCCAATGAGCTGCAACAATTGAAAATGTTCGTATTACTACAGTCCATCTCCAATCATTCAAGCATTGTAATTTTCAAAAGAGGTTTCCAGTTTTCTTTTTATTTATTTATTTTTTTTCATATGTAATTTTCAAAAGAGGTTTCCAGTTATTTATTTATTTATTTTCATATCTGAATGAAGTTTCCAGTTCAAAGACCTACTTTGAACATTCAAAATCAACTTAAAACTCAATTTTTTTTAAAAATAATAAAATACAAAGACAATTGCAGTCTAGTCTACCATGAGTCTAATTTCATGTGAACCTTTTATTTGTAGTCCTCTATGCATAAATTATTCATGAAAAAATAATAATTTGTAATTATATAATTTCATTATAATTGTCTTTGAAAAAATTAACAATTTATTTTCACAATCACACTATTCAACTTTTGAAAATAAATGTAATAAAATTATATGATTTTAATTTTTCAATCAATTAAATATAAATGATTTGAATTATGAGAATATGAACCTAGACTAATAGTAATTCAATCCAAATATTGTACTGAATATTCATTATGCAGCTGTGAACCATCAACTTCATATTGTGGCATTCTTTTATTTTTGCAACATGCTTAATCATATTTGTGAATCAAATTCTGGGTTACTATTATTGTTTTTAATTTGAAATTCACAATTATTCACAAGTTTTGGAAAAAAATTTTGGAAAATTTTGTTTGATTTAATTACTTTGGAAAACTTATTTGTAGGGAATTTTTCCCAAAAATTTTTAAGGAATTTTTCCCAAAAATTTTTAGGAAACACAAACCAAATAAGGCCAATAAAATCTCTCTCCTCACCATTTCTTCATCTCAAAGTCTTACTCTATTCCATTGATAACAACCACAGCCTAAACCAGTGTCCCTAGTGTACTCATTACAGGAGAAACTAGAGAGAGAGAGAGAGAGAGAGTTAGAAGGAAATGGAGGTGGGTAGAAGAAAGCGCATAACATGGGAGAGCAGAATCAAGAGTGATGAACTCAATGGAGGACTCAAAATCTTCCATGGTGAAGAAGAGAACTCGGAAGAAAGTCGTCCTGAAACCCAGACTGGATTCCAGAGGATTTCTCAAACCCATAATAAATTGCAGAGTTTAGGCAAGTTTTCACTGATGAATGGATTTGATTTCTTTTTTTATTTTTTTGGATGCTACTTCTCTATACCTCTCCATTTTCAAGCATTCATTTTGTGATGTTTGTTAAATTTTAACAGCTGATTTGGTTATGTGGAGAGATGTCTCAAAATCAGCATTCATGTTCGGTATTGGAACATTTATCATAATTGCATCATCTTACACCAAAGATATCAATATCAGGTCAGAAATAGTACTCCAAGCTCATATGACACAACACAACTACTCTAACCATGCTCATTATCCAATTTTTCTTGTTCATTTTACTCATCTCCTGTTTCAAAACAGAGCACAGAGCTAAAAACACTCTTTGATGATTTTACAGCTTCATAACTGCGGTTTCTTATCTGGGTCTTGTCTATCTTGCTGCAATCTTCTTATTCAAATCCATTATTTGCAGGTAATTTATTAAATGAAGAACTTTAGATAAATGAAAAAGAGCAAAATAATTGCAAATTAAGTAGGTGCAAGGGAGAACTGTGTCATTTTCGCACAGTTCTCACTTATTGATTTTCGATTATTTGTCTGTTTCCTATTCATCTGAAACTCCCTTTATTCTTTTTTATTTTTATGGGAAAGTTCATTTACCACATAGGAGTTAATTAAAGACTTGTTTGATGGTTTCTTTTTTTTTTTTTTTTTGCTATAATTTTGGAAAAAAAATAACAGGGGAGTTATAGGAGGAGATGATACAAACCAAGACTACATTGTTGGGGAAGAAGAGGCAGTATGGTTAGTAAAAATGATTATTCCTTATTTGAATGAGTTTCTTCTAAAGTTCAGAACCCTTTTTTGTGGAGATCCTGCCACTACAATGAAGGTGAGTTTCATTTCACTCATTTTCTATAGTTTATCAAGTAACAATGCTACATACTCAGAAAAAATATCAGAATAATGTTTAAAATTTGAATCTATAGTATAGATTTAAACTTGATCCTATATATTACTTTCCAAGTGAATTTGATCTACTCAATAGGAAGTTTAGGCAACTTTTTTTTCCTTTTCTATAGTATAGATCTCCAATATTCTTTCTTCTTGTTGTTTTATTGTTTTTAAATGTTACCTTGTCAGTTGGCAATCATGCTGTTTGTTTTGGCGAGGTTTGGCAGCACCATAACTATTTGGAAGATGGCCAAATTGGGTGAGTTATGATTTCATTTTAATTTTCAAAATGGAGATTGTTATTTACACCTCTCACTGGCTATTCACACTCCATATTGTGTTTTGGTTAAGAACAGTTAACCCAATTGATCAGAGGGAAAAAAGAAAAAGAAAAAAAAATTATGTTGATTTTAGTTTGATATTTATATATGCCGAGTTACCTTCGGCTAAGGTTTGAAAATTTACAAGTCAAATGGTG